GCAGGATTCAAAGAGGGATTCTACTGAGATCTCAGGCTAGCATGGTCAGCAAAGGACCGGCGCGAGGAGGGGTGAGGAACAGAGCAGGAAGTGCCCTGAACCTAGAGATAGCAAACTGGGTTCAAACCTCAGCTCCTTCACTTATTAACCGTGTGATTTAGGACAAAGTGTTTGCTATCTCTGAGGCTCAGTTGTCACATCTGTAAAACAGGGGCAAACCACATGAGGTTTGTTTTAAGTGTTAAAATGAAATAGCCTTCTTCAAACTGCTTGGCCCAGTGCCTGCCTCCACATAGGCACTCAGCAAACGTTTGTCCTCTCCTGCCTTTCAGCCAAGGAGGCTCTTGCCCTGTGGTTATTTCCCAGCTGGCAGCCGCGTGCTCCAGCTTCTGCAGCTCACTGCAAACCAGCCCCCAAGGAGCACTTTCCGGCTGACTTGCCTGACCCAAGCTGACAGCCGAGTTCTTGGCACTCCAGCATCCTCATGCCCAGAGGTCCCTTCCCTGGGGCTGAGGAGGGGGTCTCCCCAGGGCCCAAGGAGTATCTTCTCCCTGATTCTCTAAGATTTTGCATGGGCAGGCACGGGAGGGACGGAGAGGCCAGAGAACATGGGGCCTAGACAATCTGGTCCCCTCTCTCCTCATCCCCACACCAAGCCACAGTTAGAGCAGAGATGTGAGTGGGCCTCTCCCAGGACTCCAGGTTTCTCCATCAGCACCTGCCCGCAGACGCCCCACACCTGCACAAACTCTGGACCCAGATATGGCAGACTGCTCGTCCCAGACTCTTCCGTCTCTGTATCTTTGCCCAGGCTGTGGTGCCTTGCCACTCCAGCTGGGGTGTCCTTCCTGGTTTTCCTCCCCACTGAGATTGTCAATTCACACTTTCCTCTCTCTTCTCTGATTCCCAAATCAGCAAGGCAAGCACCTTTTGAACATGCTAATATTACAATCCACAATGCCAATATGACACTCATTGACTTTATTTCTTTACTCATCCAAAAATGTTTTCTGAATCCTTATTGTGTGCTAGATATGATTTTAGCTGTCACCTGTCTCTGCAGTGCCCCCCAGCAGCTGGCATGCTCGTTCATCTCCACACCCTCACCACTTAGCACGGGGCCCATCCCAGAGGAGGTGTTTGGTAAGTGGACACAGTGCATTTTTCTCCAGTCAGCTCTTGGTCCCAGTCTGGGCCATTTGTATGTTAGGCAGCAGTTTCTTTTTATCTTCGGGGGCCTCCAGGCCTCCTGCCTTCATACCTGACTTGTGAAAAACACCCTCTGGAAGCTTTACCAAGTGAACTCAGGGCATTAGAGGCTGGAACATCCTCATGAATGATGTTTTCATCAGAGCAGGCTTCCCAAGAAGGCACTGGGGCATTTTTCCCTCCATCTGGGAGGTGATTGGACCTTGGCAATGGTGTAAATACTTCCTTACTGCCTAAGGGTCAGACCCAACATTGATTGTACTGCTCAGTTTAGGAGTCTTTGCCCCAAAAAAGCAAATGCCACCATATGTTCATGTGACAGAATGTGTAGTCCTATGTAGGAAAACCTCTAAGGGGGGAGTCCACCCACCCCATCTGACCTGGAGTGAGCCATCCCGTTTCTCCGTCCACAGGTGCCTCACTCATCACACGAGAGACCAGCCTGCTGCTCCAAGGTCCTTCCTCTCAATCACTCTAGACCTCTCCACATTTATTATCTCTGCCTTATGCTGTAAAAAATGGTTTGCTGGACTATCCTTTTTGCTTTGTCTCTCATTTTTTTAAAGAAGTCAATGGATATTATAAGTGTCCACTAGAGTTGCCGATTGGTAGGAGATGACTACACCAAGTCGCTGTAATTCAAGCCAAACTTAAAGACTTTGGCATTTCAGTTAGCCTTGCAACTTTAACATGGGTCTAAGCACAAATTTTATTAGACTTTTTTGAAATATTGGCAAGGGATTCCAGAATCCCCATTGTTGCAAAAGGCCTCAAGAGGTCTGGGACTCCCCTGGGCGAAGGCCCATGAGTGAAGCTTCATTTCTCAACTCTGTGTGTTCGGCCGCGGCATGGAGGCAACAGGGAGGCAGGGAAGAGACAGAGCGGGTACAGGGCTCCGAGGTGGGGAGTTTGACTTCCTAGTTACAGTCCCCCAGATAAGGACTTGTCACAGGGAAAGTGAAAGAGCCTTGCCTTGGCTTGTGAAACTGTCATTTCGGTTTTGCTTTCGGCCCTTGAGGGAGACCCACACTGAGACTCACAGCCCTGGGGCCCAAGGTCAGTGAAGCAGAGGGACTGCCTTCTGCTTGTCTCTCCCAGCCTCTGCTTCTCAGGCAATTCTCCAAGGAGAGCGAGCTCAGAGCCACAGAGCATCAGAGCTGGGAGAATGTCAAAGGAACACGGGAGCTTCCCACTAGTTTTAGAGATGGGGACCCTGAGGTCTAGAAAAGTGAAGTGACTTGCCCAAGGTCACATACACCAGCTGGACATGAAACCAAAGCCAGAGTTCAGATCTTCAGACCACGTGGCAGAGCCATTAGCCAGCACCAACCACTGCCAACGGCAGCCCAGGCTCAACACTGGTCCTCACTTCCCAGCCTCCAAAGCTGCTGACCTGGAAGAGGCCACCAGATGGCAAGTGGCAGACAAGTACACTCAGACCCAGCACCCTTGGTCACTAGACTCATCTCCGCTCCCCTAACTCTCCTCCATGAGCACTTTGACTCAGTCTCCAAGCCAAATGTGAGAAATGATAGTCCCTTCATTCCCTCATTCAGCAGATGCACTACCAACTCCATGAACAGCATGCTAAGTCCAGAGACACAAAGCCAAGGGACCCAGGCCTAATGGGAGACAGAAACATGCCCGGCCCCTTGCAGCGCCAGGCGAGTGCAGGCATTCCACAGAGATCCACACATGGGTTTGGTAGCCGGGGTAGAGGGAGTGGGAAAGGACTGGGAGGCCCCCTGGAGGGGAGTACCTGAGCCAAGCTTCAAGGACAGCTATGAATTGACCAGAAGAAGAGGGCGAGAGGGCACTCCAAGCAGAAGGAACGCATGGAGGTGGGAAGCAGCCTGGTTTGGGGAGATTCCTCCTGGCAGCAGATGGTTCTCAGGAGGCTGTGAGTGGCAGGAGATCGTGTCCGGGCTGCAAGGCCTCGCAAGCCCCCTTTCAGAGCAGGAACGTTTGTCGTTAAGCCATAGGGTGCTCTTGCAGGATTTTCAGCAGGAAGATGACCAAGTTCAGATCTGCATCTTAGCTAAATTACTTTGGCAATAGAAGGAGGATGAATTGTTGATTGATTAGGCATGCAGGGCCAAGACACTGGGATGCACTGAGGGAGGGAATGCCAGAGGAAAATATGGAAAGTTCTGGCTTCCAGCCCAGAGTCCTGGGCTTTGGACCCATGAAATGATGAAATCGGGTGCCTGCAGGTACTTGCATGCCACATGAGGGGAAAGTGAGCTCTGATGCACTCCACTGCCCAGACAAAGCCCTGCAGAGGCCCGCTGGGCAGCTGTCCGCAGCGCCCACTGTGCCGCCCTATCCCACAGGCAGCTCCTCCGCCCCATCGACGTTTGTGTGCTTGGAAGGGCGAAGGGACCCCACTCTACTCCCAGATAGGGTGGGCCCGTGCTCACCCTCCCACAGAACAGGCCACCTTGGCTCACAGACGGGATGCCCTCAGGATGCCTCACGGTTAGACAAGGATGCCTGGGGAAGCCTTCGCCGGTCAGGCAAAGCTCAGGCTTTCCCACACTCTTAACAGCTCTACTCCCCCCACAAACTAACTCTGTTTACAGAAGTAGAAGATTCTAGAGCTGAAGATCTACACGGTCTATTCGTTGACAAGACAGAAATCCCCAACAAACAGCTGCGGAGGGAGGAATGCAGGTACAGATGGTGAAGAGCACATCTCCACGCGCGTGAGGCGATTTACCGGTCCGTCTGTACATGCCTCGTGGGGAGCGGTCATGAGAAAGGCCCCGGGCCCTGGTGATGACAGTGGTTATCTCTCAGGGATGGCATTCATGGCTTTTAGTTTCTTCTGTGTGCCTTTTGTCAATTTATTTTATAATCATTTGTAAAAAAAATGATTTGTGTAGAATGACGCTATGCTCTTCCTAAATAGTGCTTATTACAGGTTTATTTTAATTCCTTGGACCCAGGAATTAACTCCTTTTCCCAGGTCTGTGCGGGAGGCTTCCTGCTATAATGCAAGCCTCCTGTCCCAGCCCCTGAGGACCAGGCCCCGCCAGACAGAAGGCAGGGTCTCCTCCCACTCAGCTGCATCTGTAGCCCACCTACAACGTCCACAAGTCCCCGCTTCCTTCTCTCCCACAGCCAGCATCATGGCCTTCCAAGCCTGCTAATGACATCCTCAGAGTGTCGGCCCATATGGCACGTTCAGGTCCTCCCTGTAGCCTGCCAAGCTAGCCGGAGCTCAGCCAGAGAGGATGTGCGTCCTCAGCCACGCCGCACGGACCTGCTCTGTCTGCTCTGTGGGACAGAGAGGCAGGCTGTGAGGAGCAGTGCGCTCCCCAGTCCGCAGCCCTGCTCAGCCACAGTGCTTCTCTGCTGGTGGGCTACCCACATTCTGTGCGCCAATTTCCATGAGAAAAGCCTCTTAGTCCTTGAGAACCAGGGGTGGTAGGGTCCTTCCTGACCTTCTAGTTCATCTCAAAATGGCACTCCATTGGGGACCTCCTAACATACCAGGCTGGCTACCTGCTCAGCATCACGGGGGAGAGAAAGGGCAGAGGCTGAAGAAAGGATTTGGGAAGTAAGGAAGTAAGAAGGAGGAGACTGTAAAGGATGACAGGGAAGGGGGGCTGGAAGTCGCCGCCTGTGTCCTGGAACATTTCTAATACTGGTTTGCCTGCGTGATGCCTGAAATTTCCCCATTAACATCACTCCTTTGGATCTGGACATTGAAAGCTCTGCTTAAAATGAAAATCAGTTTCCCAGAAGGAAAAACACACCAATAATAATATCAAATATTCGTGTAATGCTTTATGCCATATCTCATTTCATTCTCAAAACAGCCGCCTGAGGCAGGCAGATGACTCCAGCCCTGTCACAGGCAGAGAAACCGAGGCTCCAGGAAGCTCGGTCTGGCAGCATGGTGCAGTGCTTGCCTTGTCCTAGGAGTCAGGTGGCCCCGGGCTCGAACGCTGACTCTATAAAATCTCAGAATGAGCACAAGCACTGTATCAATTAAACCCTCACGTGTTTAGGCCACGAAGTCAGGTCTCTATTAAGAGCCAGATGCAATCGCTAACTGAGAGAGAATTTGCTCTCAGCTGTGGGTGCTGCACATCATCGAACCTGAATGTGGATGAGCTCAGTGAGGGCGTTGGGCAGCCCGCGGAGGTGAAGCTCCTCCCTGGAACCTGCATCCTTTACGAGCAGGGGTAGAGCAGTGGGTCAAGGCTGCTGCTGTTCCACGGGAAGTTAGACCACATCGCTTCTGAAGTACAGCACTGGGGAAATGGGAGAAATAAAACAGAACGTGTGTGATTTGACTCATTCTTGTCACTTTCAACAGAATCCTGCAAGAGAGAGATGGACTTCAAGTAGAGCTAGCTGGTGTACAAGCAGGGGAAGAAATGCTGCGTTTCTCTATCCCACACCACACATATGATGAGTGAAAGTTTTTGCAAGCTAAAAACAGCTGAATGGTTCTGGACCCCAAAGTGAAACAGTTACAAATGGGGGCTGTGAAATGGGAACTCTGGTGGAAGATAAAACTACAACCCAAAGCCTTTATTAAACTGTTTTATTAAGAGTTCTCTGCAGATAATGAGAGTCCATGCCCCACAAAGATCAGATTAAGGGCGTTATCGTGGTCACCAGTAATTTACGAGCTGAGGGGACAGACCGAGCTACAGACGCCAGCAAGTAAAAGACACAAACTTTCTGACTTAAAACAATGTCTAGACATGAAGAAATGTGCCTGGGGTTATTGCACATTAAGATGCTCAGAAGCAAATAGGCTAGAAGTCAATTTAGGGACGAGGGAACTGTGTTTTAAAAGAAACTTCAAGCCCAGTCTGAAACCTGAGACTCAAACTGAGCCTGCAAAAGCCTAAAACACTCTCCCTTCCCTGGTCTCACCCTCCAAACCGTGGGTGTTGAAACTACTCATCCCTAGGAAGGACCAGCACTCCAGTGCCCCACTCCAAGGAGGCAGGATGTCAATCTACGGAGAGGACCCTCCCAAGGCAAAACCAGAGACCATAGAGGACACAGCCCAAGGAGCTGCTCCCAGAGAGCTGGAGAGGGGTGGCCACATGGGCCGGCCAAGGAACCAAGCCCACTGGCGGGGCAGCAGTTCTTTCCATTCCTGCCTAGCAGGGTGTGACCATTGCTGTGGACCAGTCATCTCGGTGTTTCTCTTTCCCCCATGCCTGAATGGAAGGTGGATGCTTTAATTGTGGTTATTTTATCTTTCTCCACAATGACACATTGGGAGGTTGGAAGTGTAGGGGAGGAAGACATTTCCTCTACCTGCTCTGGGTCCTTCTAGCCAGAGAACAAATTAAATTCAGATGAGACAGAAACAAAGCTTTATAACATATATATGTGGGGGACTGGAATTGGCCACCCCAAGATATGTCTCTTTGGCATGACGATTATTTGGGACTGGTTACTTTTAAAAGCTGCAGACAGGAAAGAAACTCTGAAAAGTAGAATTTACTTACCCTCTGTTAAGAGGCATTTACGTTGTAAAGGAAATCTCCATCTGCAAAGCTGTCTCCCTCTCTGTACCAGGAAGGAGGGGGGATGACTTTATCTCTAGAAACTCTTAATCAATGTGGAAGGCAAGGACTTAAATCTGCATAATAACCTGACTCTTGTTTACTGTGCTTGTGTGGTAATCTCCCATAACTGACTCCCCCCACCGCCAACATCCTCCTTTGTCTTTAGCTGAAGATGATATTTTTTTTTTCTTTTTTTTTTTTTTTATTAATGTTATGATAGATTACAACCTTGTGAGATTTCAGTTGTACATTTTTGTTAGTCATGTTGTGGGTACACCACTTCCCCCTCCGTACCCTCCCCCCACCCCCCCTTTTCCCTGGTAACCACCAATCAGATCTCCTTCTCAATACTACTAAGTTTCCACCTATGAGTGGAGTCATATAGAGTTCGTCTTTCTCTGACTGACTTATTTCGCTTAACATAATACCCTCGAGGTCCATCCACATTGTTGTGAATGGGCCAATTTCGTCTTTTTTTATGGCTGAGTAGTATTCCATTGTGTATATATACCACATCTTCTTTATCCAATCATTAGTTTCTGGGCATGTAGGCTGGTTCCACGTCTTGGCTATTGTAAATAATGCTGCAATGAACATAGGGGTGCAACGGACTCTTGAGATATCTGATATCAGGTTCTTAGGATAGATACCCAGTAATGGGATGGCTGGGTCATAGGGTATTTCTATTTTTAACTTTTTGAGAAATCTCCATACTGTTTTCCATAGTGGCTGTACCAGTTTGCATTCCCACCAACAGTGTATGAGGGTTCCTCTTTCTCCACAACCTCTCCAACATTTGTCGTTCTTGGTTTTGGATGTTTTAGCCAATCTAACGGGGGTAAGGTGATATCTTAGTGTAGTTTTGATTTGCATTTCCCTGATGATTAGCGATGATGAACATCTTTTCATGTGTCTATTGGCCATATTCATATCTTCTTTTGAGAAATGTCTGTTCATGTCCTCTGCCCATTTTTTGATCGGGTTGTTTGTTTTTTTGTTGTTAAGTAGTGTGAGTTCTTTGTATATTATGGAGATTAACCCTTTGTCGGATAAGTGGCTTGTAAATATTTTTTCCCAATTAGTGAGCTGTTTTTTTGTTTCAATCCTGTTTTCCCTTGCCTTGAAGAAGCTCTTTAGTCTGATGAAGTCCCATTTGTTTATTCTTTCTATTGTTTCCCTCAACTGAGGAGTTACAGTGTCCGAAAAGATTCTTTTGAAACTGATGTCAAAGAGTGTACTGCCTATATTCTCTTCCAAAAGACTTATTGTCTCAGGCCTAATCTTTAGGTCTTTGATCCATTTTGAGTTTATTTTGGTGTGTGGTGAAAAAGAATGGTCAATTTTCAATCTTTTGCATGTGGCTGTCCAGTTTTCCCAGCACCATTTGTTGAAGAGACTTTCTTTTCTCCATTGTAGGCCCTCTGCTCCTTTGTCGAAGATTAGCTGTCCATAGATGTGTGGTTTTATCTCTGGGCTTTCAATTCTGTTCCATTGATCTGTGGACCTGTTTTTGTACCAGTACCATGCTGTTTTGATCACTGTAGCTTTGTAGTATGTTTTGAAATCGGGGATTGTGATTCCGCCGGCTTTGTTTTTCTTGCTCAGGATTGCTTTAGCAATTCGCGGTCTTTTGTTGCCCCATATGAATTTTAGGATTGTTTGTTCAATTTCTGTGAAGAATGTTCTTGGGATTCTGATTGGGATAGCATTGAATCTGTATATTGCTTTAGGTAGTATGGACATTTTAACTATGTTTATTCTTCCAATCCATGTGCAAGGGATGTCTTTCCATCTCTTTATGTCATCGCCTATTTCTTTCAAGAGAGTCTTGTAGTTTTCATTGTATAGATCCTTCACTTCCCTTGGTTAAGTTTATCCCAAGGTATTTTATTCTTTTCGTTGCGATTGTGAATGGGATAGAGTGCTTGAGTTCTTTTTCTGTTAGTTTATTGTTAGTGTATAGAAATGCTACTGATTTATGCACGTTAATTTTATACCCTGCTACTTTGCTGTAGTTGTTGATTATTTCTAATAGTTTTTCTGTGGATTCTTTGGGGTTTTCTATGTATAAGATCATGTCGTCTGCAAACAACGAGAGTTTTACTTCTTCGTTACCTATTTGGATTCCTTTTATTTCTTTTTCCTGCCGAATTGCTCTGGCCAGCACCTCCAGAACTATGTTGAATAGGAGTGGTGAAAGTGGGCACCCTTGTCTTGTTCCTGTCCTCAGAGGGATGGCTTTCAGCTTTTGTCCATTGAGTATGATGTTGGCTGTGGGTCTATCATATATGGCCTTTATTATGTTGAGGTACTTTCCATCTATACCCATTTTACTGAGGGTTTTTATCATAAATGGGTGTTGGATCTTGTCGAATGCTTTCTCTGCATCTATTGAGATGATCATGTGGTTTTTGGTTTTCATTTTGTTAATGTAGTGTATCACGTTGATTGACTTGCGGATGTTGAACCATCCCTGTGTCCCTGGTATAAATCCCACTTGATCATGGTGTATAATCTTTTTGATGTATTGCTGTAATCGGTTTGCCAAAATTTTGTTGAGGATTTTTGCATCTATGTTCATCAGTGATATCGGCCTGTAGTTCTCCTTCTTTGTGTTGTCCTTGTCAGGTTTGGGGATCAGAGTGATGTTGGCTTCATAGAATGTGTTAGGGAGTTCTCCATCTTTCTCAATTTTCTGGAACAGTTTGAGGAGAATAGGTATTAAGTCTTCTTTGAATGTTTGGTAGAATTCTCCAGAGAAGCCGTCTGGTCCTGGACTCTTGTTTTTGGGGAGGTTTTTGATTACCGTTTCTATTTCCTTACTTGTGATTGGTCTATTCAGATTCTCCATTTCTTCCTGATTCAGTTTGGGGAGATTGTAGGAGTCTAGGAATTTGTCCATTTCTTCCAGGTTGTTCAATTTGTTGGCATATAGTTTTTCATAGTATTCTCTTATGATCTCTTGTATTTCATTGGTATCTGTTGTGATTTCTCCTCTGTCATTCCTGATTTTATTAATTTGCGATTTCTCTCTTCTTTTCTTGGTGAGTCTGGCTAGGGGTTTGTCAATTTTGTTAATTCTTTCGAAGAACCAACTCTTTGTTTCATTGATCCTTTCTATTGTCTTTTTTGTTTCAATATCGTTTATTTCTGCTCTTTTTATTATTTCCCTCTTTCTACTGACTCTGGGCCTTGTTTGTTCTTCTTTTTCTAGTTCTGTTAGGTGTCGTTTGAGGTTGCTTACGTGAGCTTTTTCTTGTTTAGTGAGGTGAGCCTGTATTGCGATGAATTTCCCTCTTAGGACTGCTTTTGCTGCATCCCAAATGATTTGGTATGTCGTGTTCTCATTTTCATTTGTCTCCAGATAATATTTGATTTCTTCTTTAATTTCTTCAATGATCCATTGTTTGTTGAGAAGCGTGTTGTTTAGTCTCCACATTTTTGCACCTTTCTCTGCTTTTTTCTTGTAGTTGATTTCTAGTTTAATAGCGTTATGATCAGAAAAGATGCTTGATATTATTTCAACTCTCTTGTATTTATTGATGTTTGCTTTGGTTCCCAAAATATGGTCAATCCTTGAGAATGTTCCATGTGCACTTGAGAAGAATGTGTAACCTGCTGTTTTTGGATGAAGTGTTCTATATATATCTATTAAGTCCATCTGGTCTAATTTTTCATTTAATTCTATTATTTCCTTGTTGATTTTCTGTCTGGATGTT